CTCGACGTCCGCGAGGCATCCACCTTGCGTGCATAATGCTAATTATTGCACTCTAGTGCCGAATTTCGGCGAAAAAAAATGCCAAAAAAGGCCTTTTCTAGAGACGAAGTAGTGCAACGGTGAACAATTGCGGAGGCTTACTGTTATACGCCACCTATAACCACCAACGCTCCAAACACCCACCCACCCACCAACACACCGACGCATGACCCGAAGCCATGCTCCCTGGATGCTCCCATCCTCGCCTACATGTATAACTACCCGACGAGTGGGAGCATATATATATAAGAATGCGCTACGCGTATCCGTGCTGGCTTGACGCTGACGGCGTGCGGTCGTGGTAGCAGTGAGGGCTTCTCCGACGGCTGCCAAGACAGCAGCTGATCTCTCAGCTCCTGCCAGTAATATTGATTTCAGTCAATGCTGGCTTTACGCATTTGAATATGTAGCTAGCTGGCGGCTGGCTCGACGGCATCCGACAGTTTCCCCCGGTGTGTCGCCGCCATACGATCGCCTTCAGTCGGTTCGTGTAACACTCGGCACGGGCGCGTGTAACACTGCACGCGTGCGTGCGTGACGGCAGGGCACATTTTTCGCGAGTCACTCCGTCAGAGATGCACGCGTCGCAGTCGCCTCGTGCCATGGCCACGCGTGCGTGCGTATCACGTCGCCTATACCCTCCCGACCTTTAACACTCTACACGGGCGCGTGTAACACTGCACGCGTGCGTGTAACACTCACCACAGGCGCGTGTAACACTGCACGCGTGCGTGTAACACTCACCACGGGCGCGTGTAACACTCACCACGGGCGCGTGTGACACTGCACGCGTGCGTGTAACACTCACCACGGGCGCGTGTGACACTGCACGCGTGCGTGTAACACTCACCACGGGCGCGCGTGACACTGCACGCGTGCGTGTAACACTCACCACGGGCGCGCGTGTAGAGAGACGCTAAAAGGGAGAGAAAAAATTTCCCCCGAGAGGATCCCGAATGACGGGTTGAGGAAACCAGCAGGCTAGTAGTCAGCGACGGGGAGGGACGGAGATTTGTAAACGCACAGCCTGCTGTAGACGATACAACTTGTCACGCAGGAACTTCGACGCTCTCTCGATTGATTGTCTTCCTCTATGCGGACTCGCGGACATCATTTCCCCGCGTTTCATCGTGCTGGCTATGCCCGTCATTTGTTTATCATGTGCACAGTGCGGCATGATCATTATTCATTTATTGCTTTTGCGGACTAGACACGTACGGTACGCACTTCCCGCTATATATATATATATATATATATATATATACGAGATATAATGCGTTATTTCGTGTTATTGCTATAATGCGGAAATGAATACGCTATGGTATAAACGTAAGCGTACACGACCGCGGATGTAGCCGCGTGTTCTACGTCCGTACCGGTCACCCGTCCAGCTTCGGTTTGGAGACTTGTGGGCGCGGGCGAGCAGGCGCACGTGTGGTTATAGTACGTGCCACCGCGTGCCCCCCGCGTGCCACCGCTCACGCAACATAACCAGAGGAAATCTACCGCCCACCTATAGCTAGCTGACACACATCATGAATGACTATACACAGCTACTAGCTGTGTATAGTCATTCATGATGTCATCCATTCATATATTATCATTTGAATGTCCATTAAATATGACGTGTGCGCGCGTGCGTATGCGCTCCACTGAACTAGAACACAAACTATAGTGTTCTAGTTCAGTGATACGCGCACGTGTGCGCGTGCATGCGTAGGCGGCAGGCCTACGTAGGCCTACGTAAGTGCGCGCGTGAGTGAGTGCACGTGGTAATGCCTGATCTCTTTCTACGCCTTGTTTGACTCAGAATATTTCCTTTTCTAGTTCCTCATGCGTGTAAATCGATATATATTCCAGAAAAAATTTTGATCGATAGACCTATATAGCTAGGACTACCATGGAACTGCAGTTTCACGTGTCACACAGTTTTTATAATAAACACGTTTTGATTTCTTGAAGTTTTATTAAATATAAATAAATGAATAAATAAATAAAATATAATATTTTCTCTTTGTATGTGCGCTGTCAAGACTTTGTTCTAGCTGGTTGGCATAGATATCTACTATATAATATATATATAATATATATCAAGAGTACATAATAGGAGATTAATCTCCTATTATGTACATCTTGATATATATATATAATATATATATATACTTATATATATATACAAATATTATATACAATATATAGATACATATGGGCCGAATAGAAACAACCATAGCCATATCATATACATATAATGGCGCTATGGTTGTTTTTATTCGTAAGCTCATAAACCCTAGTAATGCAGCAGAATAGCGCTAATCCGGGGGGCGGGCGAGTCTATATTCAAGCCGGTACGGAGATTACCGGTACGCATATACTTTCCTAAATAATATTGATAATCGGCTGCAGATCAATAAATCAAGTATTCACAGACGAGTAGGTAGCTAAGACATGTGTCTATAGGTATTTAGAATTTTAGAAATTTAATCATCTGTAATTCACTAGCTTCCGCACGAATATATTTGGCATTTGCTAATATATTGACTAATCGTGCGTCAATAAACTCAATATTCACATATTCAAGCCGGTACGGGAGATCATTTGCATAATATATTCTAGATACCTATAATATATAGACACATGTCTTAGCTATACTTTCTGTGAATATTGAGTTTATTGACGCACGATTAGTCAATATATTAGCAAATATATGCGTATCGTAATCTCTCGTACCGGCTTGAATATATAGACACAATATAGATAAAATAAAAATAAAAATAAAAAACCCCAATCCGGAGTGACAAAACAAAAACAGCTCCAATGCACCATGGGATGTGTTGCTGTCATGGCGGTGGCCGACTGGAAATTGTATTAAATTTGCGTGTATTTCACGGATTTACCGATCCGTATCACCTAGAATAGATAACTTTTCACGAATCTAGATTGAAAAGATACTCAGAGATCATGTCTACCCACAGCAAAAGAAAGCACATCAAGGCAGTTTCACAGAAAGTGAAGTTGTTTAGAGCAAACGAGCCTCTACTAAGCGTTTTCATGTGGGGCGTAAACCATACGGTTAGTGATTGCTTTTTGAGTGTCTTGTTCGAGAATTATCTCACAGCAACTTGCGAAATGACATGTGCACTTTTTTTAAATACGCGTACAAAAGACCATATACTCGCATGCTAATTAAATACTGGTAAAAACGAATTTTTTTGTTCCTAGTCATTTAAAACACCCCATTCAAGTAGTGTTATAATCTGGATTCAACTGACAACTTTACAAAACTACAAACCTATTTCAATTTTAACAAGAGTTATATGGAAAATGCAGATTGCTATTGTAAACTACTTAGTTATTATGAATCGTAACCTAATTGGTTGTGTACATGCCTCTTATTCAGATAAGTGCCCTGAGTCATGTAAACATTCCAGTCATGTTGATGCCTGATGACTTCAAGGCATTCACAAAGACACGAGTGGATAATCACATGTTTAACAAGTAGGCCTATGCGTCACCCTAGCTCTAGTACTATAGTCCGCGTACAGTTGCCGCAGACCTGCCAGCACTTCCATAGCCAGCTGAATATCAATTCAGTAACATTAAATGCAGTTACTTTACCTATCTGTAGCTGATTGGAGCAAAGGAATTTGAGATAAACACTGGAAGTGAGTAATACTAATAGGGAAGTACGACATGCCAAAGGATGGAAAATTTGATGTTAATTTACTACCTTCGATCTACATGTGATTTATTATCATGTGTAACTCAGTGAACATGATTTCACAAGTTACTACAATCTCACCAATCGGCCTTCTCCCTTATAATTCTATACAAATTATTATATGTTATTCCCTCATAGGTAGACTAAGGCTAGTGAATTATCCTTATATTAGCATGTCACTTTCTTCTATTACTCCTGATAACATATTAAACATGAAGCATCTAGTGAACAGTTTTTAATTTTTTTTACCATTTACTGCCTTCAAAGGGAAAACATGCCAAGTCACTTCAAGGTGAAGGAGTATTGCCCTATTGTGTTCCGAAACTTACGAGAGCGCTTTAGTGTGGACGACACGGATTACATGGTGAGATGTAATAACTTGCTTATACAGGCTGTCAAAGTTTAATCTCTGATAGTCAGTTTGTTGGTTATATTGTTGGGTTTTAACTAATTTTTAATGACAGTTATGTCGGGGTTTTCCTTTGTTTATATTAAAAATCTGTCATATTTATTTTTCAGAATTCGCTAACAAAATCGCAACCTGTTTTGGCTAAGTATCAAGGAAGGAGTGGAGGCAGAATTCTTATATCCTATGATAATAAGTTTTTAATTACAACAAGTGGTCCAGAGGAAGTTGAGCAGATGCATCACATCTTGAAACAGTATCATCAGGTGCGTGTGTCTGAGATAACACATGTATATTGCACGTAATTAGAACTGTGATATCCCTTAAGACGTTAGGTGAAAAGTTATACATGTATAGCATTACTTTCACACTCATTCAGTGTAGAAAGAAAAGTAGTATAAAATTTCCAAATGTGTATGGAAAAGTTATAAACGTGTAATCATGCATGAGAAAGATGTTATTTGAACAAGCCTCTTAATCACTGCAAACATTCTTGACTATTTTATGATAAAATGAGATGACATATTTACAAACATTTTCCTTCCGGTCCGGTACACGCGATATAATATTGCATTTGTCGATTGTTAGGAATCGTAAAATTGTGCAATGACTTTTGTGTTCATCTTGTTTGACAGCATATAGTTGAGAATCATGGCCAGACGTTGCTACCACAGTATATGGGCATGTACAGGCTAACTGTGGAGGGAGGAGAGACCTATCTCATTATCAGCAAGAATGTCCTGAGCAAGAATTTACCAATACATAAAGTCTATGACCTAAAGGGATCGACAATCGACAGACAAGCTAGTGAAAAGGAAAAGGTTCGAGTACAAGTTTTAATTTCTATGCTAAATATTAAAAGTACGCTCTATTATGATAAATTTGAATGGAACTTGCCGGATATGATAATATCTTTTTTTACTCAGCATAGACTTAGTTATGATTATTGAGCCATATTTATGTACTATGTATTGTTGAGAATATATACCAAATCTGTTACTAATATGCCTAGTTTCAAAGTTTTCTTCATTTAATTCATAGGCAAAAGACCTTCCAGCGTATAAGGACAATGACTTTGTGGAAGAAGGTGTGAAACTGATCGTTGGTCCTGAAGCCAAGGAGAAGTTCATGGAAAAGTTGACCAGAGATGTTGGGGTGAGAAAATGTTACACTGTACCCTTAAATAAAATTGATTTGTAAGGAAAGTGATAAGTAAGTAAGAGTATTGTACAAAATGACTGAAAACAGGCCTATATGAAATGGAAACATAGAAGCTTTGTTACGTAACCGAGCAGGATATGTGATAACGATTGACCCAGTGAAGTAAAAAGTAATTTGTTTGTCAAAGTAGTCGTTAGACACTGGGGCATGGTCTGAAATTTAACATTAATTGCTTTCTGCACGTTAAGTATCATGCTATATATAGTAGGATATTAATCTCACTTCTTGATGTTAATAATATGATTGTAATGTTATGACTGGACACCAGGTGTGTAACAAACTGTTTACTTATGATATCACATTATAGTTTTTGACAAATCTCCACTTGATGGACTACTCCTTACTCGTTGGAATTCACGACTGCCAGACGGGACGTGATGCGGCAGACGCATTGCAGGTGTGTTTAGATTGTTGATGAATGTCAAACCGTCATGTTCACTATAGCAGTTACATAATGTATTAATTTAGCTTTTCTAGTCGGGAGCATGCTTCGTACTAATTGTCTTCGTATATATGTAGCTTGATTGCTATACATTCTGGAATTAAAAAAAGAAAAATACTGCCACAGGAGGAATACGAGAATGAGAATGGTACGGATGCCGAGGGCTCGGAATCTGACAACGGAGGACAGAAGCCAACTCCGCCCGGTACCCCTAGTCCAAAGACTGCCGTAGAGGTAGCACCCTTCGACTTTGACCTTGAGTTTCATCCAGAGGAAGATATCTATGGAATTCCCGGCACCGAGGAGGAAGGTAAGAGCGAGCGATATCGATGGGGTGTATGTCGGCCATCGGTAGAGGCGATGGCAACCTTCTTTGTCGTAGTGTAGGATGTTTGTTTTTCATTGGTGTAGATCACCTGGCATTACGTTGAGATTGGCAGGCTGCACTAACCAATGTATTCAGACTGTATGTTCTAATAATAGCAAGTCAGGGGCCCATTGTCAGAAACAAAATTAGTCTTAACATTGGTCTCAACATTGACTTTATCTCGTAGTCAGACTGCTGTACACTGCGTATGAGAAACTCATAACTTGACGATGTTTCTGTCGACAGTATATGAGAAAAGGTTGATGTTAAGACTAATTTCTGTTTCTGGCAACGGGCTCCAGGTGTGCCTTGTCCATTCCTCTATACTGCACTCTGCGCTCGGGATTCTTGCTTATAACAACGTCGACAATGTTCTTGTGATTTTTCTCGCAGACGGCAACCGCAAGGAGGTCTACTATCTGGCGCTGATACAGGTTCTGACCGAGTACAATGCCCAGAAGCGTACCGCCCACGCGATGAAGACGGTCAAGCACGGCACGAGGGCCGACATCTCAACGGTAGGACCTGAACAGTTCTCCCGCCGCCTTCTCGACTTTGTAGCAAAGGTCATAGAATGATGGCTGGACGTGGATGAAGGGACGAGAGGGGGTGGCGCAGCGTGTAGGCTCAAGGCTTGTGGCTAAGGCGCATGCGTGTAGACATTCCTGCAGGGGGTTCGGTTAGTGTTGTGACCCGCTCGCATTTAACACGATTGCAGGGCTAGGAACTTACAGGAAGGAATGTTTGGAAATAGTATGTGTGATTTTTTGTCCACCACTGCGCGTATCTATTATGCTGTATTTAGTGTACATGTTTCGATTTTCATTCGTGTGAACATAGATCTTACTTGCATTTAACTGACGACGTGTGCTACGTGTACTAATGATAACTATTTGCTAACTACCTCACGATTAGACCCGACTGTCTAACGTGTGACTTGAGTGTAGCAGTTTACGCTTTCCCAGTGGTAACCCAGAATGGGTTCTTCCTGAAAGCAGTGTGTGAGTTGTCGACATTGAATAGTTTAAGTATGTACATAAATGTTATTAGTGTTTATATTTTCTGTTAAAGGTGGTTTTAATGTGTGATTTCTGTGGCGTAACTGTTATGTGTATTCGTGGCAAGTGGTCTATATTTTATTGTTATTCTATCCGTTTTGTAGACTCCGTGCGTCAATTAAGTGAATTGTGATTTCCTTTTTAGCTCATCTGACATAGTCAGATGCAGCTTGTAGAATCGCTTGATCGTCCGTCCGTCCGGTCGTCCGGCCGTCCGGCCGTCCGTCAACAGTTGGGCACAAATCTTAACCGCTCGACGTACGGTCACGATATTCGGGTCGTTGGGGGGGATCGTCAAAACGAGTTGGGATGTCGAAGCTGGGGGTCAAAGGTCAAAGGTCAAGAGGTGTAAAAGAAGGGGGAACATTCACTCCTTAACTTAAGGTATAGGGAAGAAATGCAGAATTGCGGCACAAATCTAAACGGCTCGACCTAGGCTCGTGATAGTCGGTGTATAGCATCATGGTAGGAAAAGCCATCACTGTGCCGAAATTGGAGGTCACAGGTCAAAGGTCAATGGAGCACAGGGCAGATTTTAGACATTTTCTGATGACATGGTCTGACGGAGCGATTGGAAAACTTTTTTGTTTCAGCGGTGACCTATCATTTTTATGGCTTTATTGAAAGGACCATGAAATCTGCTTTCCACTGACGTGCGAAGAGTAAGTGTCTGATAACCTTTTGACCCTCAAGAGGAGGGTTAAACATGGATTTGTTGACTGTCTGTTAGAAAGAATTTGACTGCCGGGTTTGCTAGTAGAATCTATACATGCCTGGATGTATGAGGCTACAATGTCACAGTGAAATTTCAAAAGCTAAATTTGGTTAAAGAAGGTTTATGCTCCTTAAATCGTATAATTTATATGGCATTCTGTAGTGTCAGTATGTTACATGTAACGTATGCCACTGCCAGTGGCTACTGCCAGTGCATGTGTTGTGGTACTGTGGAGTTTTTGCCTTAATTGGTTGCAGGTGGCAGCTCTCTATTGCGCAGCCTGTAGGCTTGCGTAGGTAAATGGATGAGTGCTTACCTATTCTGTCTTGCAGATAGTTGTTGCTACTACATATGATGGGAGCTTCCATCTTTAATCTGAAGACACTTAAACGTACGCGCCATCTCGTGGCAACTTTCATAACGATCCCAACGAACATTCTTTTGAGAAGGTTCCTGATACCATCCCTGTGCATTCCACTGTTTCGGCGTGTATGTGAACACATTTGGGACTAACAGGGTTTACTAGAATCCCACCACTCCACCACAGAGTCACCGCAGTAGACGTTAGATGAGCGCTGTCGCTATGCGGCACTTGTTTTGTTTAAACTGACAGTTTCCATTTCATTATTATGAATTATAGGTAATTCATGTTACAACTGGCCTGAATCCGACTTAATGCTATCTTAAGTCTTAAGAATATGACGGTAACTAAGTAAAGACTCTAATGTTGTACGTGAGAGAGAGAAATGAATAACCTTGTGATTTTTTCGTGAGGTTGGTGTGCAGTAATTATAAGAGTAACAACAAGGTGGAATATCATTCTTGTTTCTGATTGCTAGGCAGAGATTATGGTGACAAGTATTTCTTCTCGCGACATTGCATTCCTTCTCCTATTTTGTTTCTTAAATATATACATATACGTTGTGTTTAATAGTAATCATTGTATATAAGTATTGTTGCTGTTGTGATTTGTATGTTATTGGATCAAAATTGGATAGCTGTGATGTTTGTGCAAGGTAATGTATAAGCGGTGATCATAATATAAGGTCTTGCGTGTCCTTATTTTATTTTGAGTGTCGATTTATTGATGTAAAACAGCATGGAGGTTTTGCAAGTTAAAGTACTTTTCCAATAAAGTCGGTTTTTAAAACCGATACATATTTCATGCTGATAATAAATATGCTATGGTTTAATCATAATTCACTTGTCTAGTTGTATAGATCTCTTGTCAGATATATCGACAATAGATTTAATAGTACAAATACCAGGCCTGAATCAGATTAATATTATAATAAAAATGGCTCAAGATTAATTTTATGGAAAATAATAATTTTTACAGGATTTAGCTAATAAACCAGATGTAACATATAAAATGGATTTAATAGCAAAATATATATATATACACAATTTCAGTTTAACAATCAACATAGTATATACCCATAGTATATAGTAGGTACTGAAAAATAACATTTCGAACGTTATAAAGGACCCACTTCTTTGGACTGCAAAATACTGATGGTGACAAGTCATGTCTAGCCTTTTTCCAAACATCCATCCATACTGGAGTTTGTACAAAGATTTAATGTACAAGGACTTACTGATATACATAGACAGGTTGAAGCTATTTGACTCGATTATCACCTATGGACTTACTTTGCAAGCCAGTGACTGTCACTTGATTTTTATCCTGGAATTTGCTAGACACATTCTATGAAAAATAAATTTCCTGTCTTCCAGGCAAGTGGTACTCTGTACACAACACAGACTAATGTGTTATTAAATGAAATATTTATCACATGATATCTATAGCCTTTTAAACTTTAATAGTTAAATATACTACCAGGAGAGAATGAAAATAAACTGTTTATATTCTCTCCTGATACAACAATCAACTCCTTAAACAAACAATGGCATAATCCAATGCAATGATATCCTTTGAACAAACTGGAAGACCTCACCCATATCTGACAACTGACACAGTCTGGGAAATCACCTTCATAACCTCATAAATATATTACAATTAATTTATGCATAACAAACTTGTCAACTGTATTCACTCCCTGGCAAATTAAGCACAACCAGCCCAAAGTGGCATATTCCGTACATAGCTGAGAAAGAAAAGTTAACTTGAGTTTCTCATGGGTAAACATCTTACTCTAGGAGTTAATTTTATTGCTTTTATTTGACACCGTTCTTCCGTGCTTCAAGCGAAGAAGCTCCAGACGTGGAATGCGATCACAGGTGTGACGAGGGCTGTTAAGAGCGAGGAGAGTAGATTTACGCTGTGATTGTCCAGCAGGGGGCATCCACTGACGTGATGCACACTGTCACCAGGGCGCTCCACCATACATTGCCGCACCGTGCAGTAACCTAGAAAAGAGCGACACAGTTACAATATCACCTGAGGGATTGAAGATTTGATGCATCATAATAATACTTCAGCACTGGCTTTGCACGTGTAGAAAATTGCCTTGTAGCTGGATTTAGATTTTTCTCGTTAAAATTTGCTACAGACACCACTGAAAATCACACGACGATGCCTTGATATCAGTAATTAGTGATAAAAGTAAACGAATATATTCGCGATGTGCACGTTATCTGTCTGTATCTCTGCCTGAGCACACGTCCGTCTAGCCAACTGTCAAAAATAGCCATACAAACCTAAATCCTGAAATTAATGACAGCACGTCCGAACGACCGCGTACCACATGCCAACGTCTCACGACAGTAACCTCAACGCTAATAGAGAAAACGACAACCGGACGCAGGTTGGACAGAAAGTCGACCTGTCCAAGTTCCAAATTCCAGACCGAGTTCCAGTCGCATGAAATCAACACGATATGACCGCATACCATTTCGTAATTAACAACAACGGTAACCTCAAGCCTTAGAAAATGATAATCAGACTCGGGTTTGACAAACGCGATCCGCGCGGCCCGGCAGCCGCGCCCTCACCCGAGAACTGGCACGTCGCTCCCAGCAGGGAGTCGATGACGGAGCCGAGCAGACCGGCGATGGTGCCGACGATGAGGAGCGGCCATTGCGGACAGCTCGCCGCCACCAGGTCGCGCGGCAGCATGAGCAGCTCCGCCGCGTAGTAGCCGACCGCGACGATGAATCCTCCCAGCGCGCTCGCCAGCAGCCCGACGACGGACACCGCTCCGTTCGTTCCTGCAGCAGACAGCGCAGCGCCCCCTGACGACCAACTATTCGCTGTTTGACGGCTAGCCGAACAAATGCCATTTCTTACAGTTTTTTACTGTCGGTTAGCTGTTATTTATCTATGAGATGATATATCATGTCCGCACGGAAATGTCTTAACCATAAATTTAGAGAGACATTGCAAATATCTATTCCTGTTTTTACGAATCAACTGACAGCTTCAGCTAGAAAATTAGTATCACCAGTTTCTGTTTTTTTCCAGCATAATATGCCTATCAAAAAACTTAAATTCTAGACATGAAGTTTTGAATGCGATTAATGACTGCTATGTGTCAAAATTAACGTCATTAAATTCATACAGGGAACAGACGAACGGTACCTGTAGGGACACATTCGAGTGTCGTTATGAGCCGGGGATGTGAGTTGCCAATGACGGTTCCTAATTCGGATGCCAGAGTGTCGCCACAGCAACATGCCAGTGCTCCCAGCACACCGACTGATAGCCAGGACGCATTGTAATCATGAGCAAAATCAATGATGGTCTCACTGCAGCCATGATCAATGATGTATAGAATTGCGAGTTCGGTAGCCACTCCACCGTTACATATAACTTGAACCCAGTCTCTTTGTCCACCTGAAATTACAGTGAAAGTGCAAATTCTACGTTCTGCAATGCTTACTTGATATTATCTTGAAAAAATAGTTAAACATTTATTAAGTATAATTGATATAGTGTCACTCGGGGTTATGACAGAAAATGATACCTGATCCAACTGATGATTTATGGATATGTGCATCTTTCTGACATTTAGAATGACAGTTAGCAATGAAATTAATAGAATTTTGGTTCTTTACTACTAATGATATTATCTAACTGCATTTATAAAATTCAATAAAAAATTCAATGAGGGCAAGTTAGAGCTGATTGATTCCATGTCTACGACCACAGCTAGATGCATGATATGTACTGATCTCTGTATGTAATGATCTGTGTAAGCTGCCAGGATTCACTAAGTAAGTCACTCATGACTCGACAGACCATGCTAGTAGGAAACAAATCGGTTACAGGCTGAACGAGATGTAAAATTCGCATGGTTTTCAAACAGAAAAGTTCTGTAGCGAGATGCTAAGGATTGATTGCACATCCATGACCATTCATCTTGCCTCGCAATGACCTATCTGTTTCTGGGATTCATATTCACCTTCCTTGAAGGCATCATCCATTCTGCGCTTGCGTGCCGACCTGAATACTGTCGCTCGTGATCCGACCAAAAAGAATACCGCCATCGACACGAAGAAGCAGAAGCTGCTTATCATCATGACTATGCCAACCAGCAAACCTGTAATGAAATACTTGGGGTCAAAGTCTGAAAATTTATTGCAGATACACTTCAGTGGATGCACCTATTAGGATAGATGTAGAGAAAATTGGGGAGCTATGTATAGAGCTGGCACGAGATGTCCTTATAAAGTTATATAGTATAATTATTTTCTACTGGCTCACTGAAAACCTTTAATTAATTTCACCTAATTTTGCAGTTTTAATTTTATACTTTAGTTAAATGTACCTGCAATAACGCCGCTCTTTGACAGGCTCCCTCGCTGCATTGCACGCACGACAAACAGTAATGGCACTAAAGCAGACATCAACCATCTGATCGGCGAGATAGGCTTCCAATCACCTGATTAAACATAAATTGCACCACTGACTCAAGCTTACAACTGTCAAGCTGTACTCAAGCTGTCACAACTGTCTTCTCGTTGTCATGTAGGGAAGCAGCATCTGTCCGAAATTTTTTATGGTGGCTCTAGTGTTCCTGTTTCCATGTTCACCTTGATATTATAGTACATTAAAAAAGTCAATACCTATATAAATATAAAGTAAAAAAAACCTTTTTAGCAATTTTTTCCAATAAAAATATACCGTATGTAACAGGATTTTCCCAATATGCAGGTTGATTTCCCAACCTGCAGATGCGCTTATATTCTTAGTTTGTGCAAGATTCCACGTCTGGGTACAGTCAATATATGCACTAATCATTACACCGTACTACTAGTACAAGTAAGACACAACAACAACACACTAAGTTTGTTCATTAATGACATTATTTGTTGTAAGGAAATGATTGATAATTAACTAATAACTTACTTGCCGGTCCATAGTACGTATCAAAAGCCGTATTTAAAACCCAACACCCAAGTGAAAGTGGCATTATCATTGTAAGCAGTGCGGCCAAGAAAATTCCCTTAATATTTTCACTCGGTTGAACCATCATCATAATAATAATATACGCAAGATATTACATTTGCCAATTTTGTAGGGGGCAGCCATTTATAGATAAAGCGCCCCCAAGCGGTAGGATCTATATTGTAGGTGTTGGCAGATATGTAATTCCGCATTAAATTTTTCTATACGTAGCAGATTATATACTGTTAGCGTGACATAAGAGTTATTACTATTCTCAGTGTACATATTGTTTAAAACTTGGTGCAAATGTTGCAAGGAGAAAATGTTACAAACATTTTCTGTGCTATATTACGCGCGGAGTTATTTTCACTGTTGTGCGCCACGCCTCTGCCATCTTTCTATTTTGCAGCCGGTGAAAATATATCTTTACCAAGCGTAATTTTTGAAGCAGTTTGACAAAGAACCAATTAACCATGGATGAGGAATACGACGTCATCGTTTTGGGAACAGGACTGAAGGTATGTTATGCAATGCGTAATTAAGTTTTTGTTAGTAATGACATTGCTAGTAATGCCACACACCCTCTCATGTGGAAAATTTATTTCCTTATGTCCAAAGCAACACAGTGACAGTCACTACAGCTGAAGGGGTCGTTGTCGTATAGGGTACGTACCCTAGATACAATAGTGTAACCCAAACACAGGATAGGGTTACAACGCGAGCCTATCCTTTTGGGCTCCTTTTGTGTGGAGGAACCCCTGAGTGAATCACTCGGGGCGGTTTGCTGGTGCGTTTTCAGAGACTATAACTATAAGTATAACTTCCAAACTGGGTTTATTCTCAACACGAACCTTTCTCTGCTATCCTGGAACTTACTATGTATCACAATACTCTGTATTAAACTAATATAACGTGTTACAAAAATTCGAAGCGACGAGCGGCGATTCTTCCAGCGCCATTTCTGTTGACCTGTGGCGTACGCATTCCCAATGCGCATAGAGTTCGGCTAACTTCGTCATGACGTCACGACTAACAGCAGGCATCCAATGATACATTCAATCTTGGAGTCAAAGTTAGCCGAACGCTATGCGTATTGGGAATGCGTACGTCACAGGTCAACATAAATGGCGCTGGAAGAATCGCCGCTCGTCGCTTCGAATTTTTGGAACACGTTATATTAGTTTAATACAGAGTATTGTGATACATAGTAAGTTCTAGGATAGCGGAGAAAGGTTCGTGTTGAGAATAAACCCAGTTTGGAAGTTATAGTCTCTGAAAACGCACCAGCAAACCACCCTGAGTGATTCACTCAGGGGTTCCTCCACACAAAAGGATAGGCTTGCGTTGTAACCCTATCCTGTGTTTGGGTTACATTATTGTATCTAAGACTAAGGGTACCCTAACCCTAACCCTAACCATATCAGATAGTTACCTCGGGTACATATATGTAGTACCCTATACGACAACGACCCTTTGTGCGTGACTACACGTACACCACCGACACCGTGCACAAACTCACCAACGGTCGAGCAGGCCTGCCCAGTTCAGTTGCCTGAGTTGGAAAGCAACAGTGACAAGTAATAAGCTGCTTGCTTCGTTTAAAACTATTACATGCACAAATACAGTGTCAGTATACACGACCAAGTTCCTCAATCGTTGCATATGTTTTCAGCTCAGTGTTGAACAATCTCACATAATCCTACAAAAAAATGTGTTTCTCCGTGGCAATGTAATTGGGATGTAATTATTGGTTAACGCATGATTACTGGTGGTGCACTGCATTCTGTGTTAACTGCACTCCACTTACGAGCTCAAAAAGGAGCACCCAGCACTCCAGGTATGGTAAAGTGAACACTGGTAAAGTGCCTGTAGGGATTATCAGATATATGCCTCTAATTACTCCAATTCTGTCTACGATGGTCTTTGCTCTTTCCTCCCCTCTCTGACTTTCTCTTTATGTTCGTATAAGTCGCGCCTCGGTTTATGCTTGGTGGGGGAATGCGGTATCAGCTCGCGTCGCTCGTAATCGTAGATAAAAAGATGATCTAAGCGTACAAGTAAAAAATAGCAACAGTATCTCGCGCGGGCATTGATTCGTGCCACTGAGCTAATCTCATGCCCATCCTTCCAGTAGCAGTTCTCCCCTTGCCTTGAGTGCATGCCGAGCTGTCGTGCCTTCAAAGCTGAAGCTAATTTGCAACATTCCATTAATCCCCCGACATGCCTTAATTGCCTAATCAATGTGATAATCTGCAGCTGTGTTTACATTTGACAATCCCAACACAGCTATGCTGTGTTTTTCACAGCTTGATGTAAGTCTCCGAACTGATCAAGTTTTACCTGTGTATTGAGGCCGCTTACCTGTGTATTGGGGCCGCTTACCTGTGTATTGGGGCCGCTTACCTGTGTATTGGGGCCGCTTACCTGTGTATTGGGGCCCGCTTATTTGTTGACGCGCGTAATTGACTCCAGTTGGTACAACTCCCTTCTGCTGGCCCTTCCCCCATCCGTCCATAAATTACATGCCTTCTGTAATTGCTTGGCAGAACCTTGTGATTTTCCATTACGTCATGCTAGTTTCTAATTAACAAAGTGTAGAGTGCGCATACCGGTTTATCGCGCAATCAGCAGCAGAGAGCGAGAATCGTGTGAGATCAATAAGTAACTAACAACAAGGAATCAACAGTGAAATTTCAATCATTCCATATATTGTTAAAAGTAACGATGTACGAGTGTTCTAAGTCAATAGTTGGTGCTGGTTCTGGGTGAAATGTTGTTCTAAGGCATGGTAGTCGTATTGTAGACACTTGCTGTCATGCAAGCAATACTGGTATGTATCGCAATCGTCAGAGAAATTCATCTAAATGGAGACTGTAGGAGCCAATCTCATGGGGGAGAGTTCCACCTGGTCAGAGGATTTGGAAGGAGTGACATTACACATTAACCGCATCAGTAACCCAGTGCCAACCCTGATATAGAATCCTGATGGAAACTCTAGATCTGAGGCCATTAGCTTTCTTGTTATCCACCAGAATGAGTGTTTGTGTCACCCATTGTCGAGTCATACTGTTGTTCCTACTGTATTCTCAGTGTAATTAAGCTTCTAAATGAAGTACTGTACAATGTGTGGTACTGATCTTAGGGTTGTCTACTAAACATGTGTTATTAGGCCACAATTAAAAAAATCTTTGTTTGCCCTCACCTGACCCAGACTGAAAAGTTTGGGTAGGTAGGTAGGCTTTTTAAAGTTTTTTTTTTACAAATTCAGCATGGTGTCTACATGCTCGGGTGTGCTTGTGTGGAGATACCTTTTATGTTGAATGTTTGTTTTGCTTGGTACATATAATGTATTGCCTACAGATTTATATAATGTACACATTGTACAGTGATAAAATTTGTAAAAAAAAAAGAATGGGAAAGATCAATAAAATTGTTTGAGTCGGCCTTTTTTTGGCGGGTCGGTCGGGTGAGGGCAAACAAACACTATTTTTATTATGGCCTTACATCTCACCATGATAGTATCTGCTTATTTTCAGGAATGTATCCTATCAGGAATGATGTCTGTTAGTGGAAAGAAGGTGCTGCACATGGATAGGAATAAATACTATGGAGGGGAGAGTGCTTCTCTCACTCCCCTAGAAGAAGTGAGTGATGACAGTTTTAAAGGATGATTGCTATTACAAATTTCATTGTTTTTTTAAAATTATTAAATTTTTTTATTAAATTTTATTGCAAGCTTGTGTGTGTGTGCGTGCGTGCGTGCGTGCGTGCGTGCGTGCGTGCGTGCGTGCGGATGCGTGCGTGCATGCATGACTGTTTAATGTAAAGGCAGTGTTATTTGGTTGTCTATGGATTTCATAGGGTTCCTTGTGATGCTGTCCTATGTCTTACTCATTGTATTTGGCATTCGTGACAGTGTACACTTGGTTTAGCTATGAAACTGACATTAACATAAGAATATTGATTATTTTCGTTCTAGTTGTACACTCATTTTGGCAATGCCACTGGGCCAAAGGAGACCATGGGTAGAGGCAGGGATTGGAATGTGGATTTGATACCAAAGTTTCTCATGGCTAATGGTAGGTCACTGTCACCTAGAAATCTTGTCCTTGGACCTTTAAGTTGTAGTCTGGCAAAGTGAAAGTGTTAGGAATGAATATGATCAAAGAATTGAAATCGGAGTGCCTACATAATATGCACACACTGTTCTAGACCAAGTTAATTTGCATTGAAACTGTTGTGTGGTAGCATGTAAACCAATAGCTAAAAAGGAGACCTGTTTGACATATCACTCGTAATTATATACTTGTGTGAGAACCGTATTTGTAATTTGGATGTAATTTTGCAAAGATTGCGTCTGCAAAACCTGAATGCTGACTCATATTCTGTTTGTACAGGACAGCTAGTAAAGTTGCTAATCCACACCGGTGTGACCCGATATCTAGAGTTCAAGTCTGTAGACGGTAGCTACGTGTACAAGCAGGGAAATCACGTGCATAAAGTACCAGCCAACGAGAAGGAAGCACTGTCTACTAGTAGGTTCACCTTTCTTCATTTATCTCATTAGCATGTAAATTTACTGTCTTGTGACATCTTGTGCTCTCACAGTTTTTGCACGTTGCGAGGATAGCATTGATTGGACCAAATCACACATTGACAGCTAGAACTGTCGTCTAACGAGGAAGAGGAAATGCAGGTTTCGATGACTTTGTCATGCACTCAGTTTAATAATTTTTGAGAATTGCTCGGTTGCAGCTGCACATTTCGCTTTTCCAGTTTCCGAAACCTGTCAGTTATAACTTGAGCGCGGCAAGCGTCTTCTTTATGATTAAACGTAACGATCGCATCGATCGTTTACCGCTGCATCGCGCCGCAATAAGCCGATTCCCCGATAAACCAATAAGTCGGGTTTATTTTCGGTGAACGTCAATTATAACAATTATTCGGTAACGTCGTTATCAACGTCACGGTGACGACAAGTGACGGTGACGATGAGTAACGATGACGAGCGAGGGTGACGACGAGCGACGGTGACGACGAGTGACGGTGATGACGAGTGACGGTGACGACGAGTGACGGTGATGACGAGTGACGGGGGTAACGACAGCGCGGGTGACGACGAGCGACGGTGACGACAAAGCGAGGGTGACGACGAGCGACGGTGAACGACAAGCGAGGGTGACGACGACGACGGTGACGACGAGCGGCCGCGTGGACGACAAGCGACTGGTGAACGCCGAGACGACGGCGATGACGAGCGACGGTGACGACGAGTGACGACGAGCGACTGGTGAGGCGACGAGCGATCGGTGAACGACAAAGCGACGGTGGACGCGAGCCGACGGTGGACGACGAGCGACGGTGACGAACGAAGCGACGCGGTGACGACAAGCGACGTGACGAACGACGACGGCGATGACGAGCGACGGTGTGACGACGAGTGACGACGAGCGACTTTTTTGACGACGAGCGACGGTGACGACCCAGCGACGGTGACGACCGAGCGACGGATGACGACGAGCGACGGTGACGACGAGCGATGGTGACGGACGAGGCGATCGGTGACGACGAGCGACCGGTGACGATCGAGTGACCGACGTACGAGTGAGGGCTGACGACAGCGACGGTGATCGAAACGAGCGACGGTGAACACGACTGAGCGATGGGGTGGGGACGACGAGCGACGGTGGATCGACGAGTGACGACGACGAGGTGAGGGTGACGACGGAGCGACGGTGACGACGGCGACGGTGACGACGAAGCGAGGGTGACGAGCACGAGCGGGGTGACGACGAGCGCCGGTGACGACGAGCGATCGGCGATGACGAGTGAGGGTGCATGACGAGTGACGACGAGCCGACGGTGACGACGAGGCCGACAGGTGACACGACGTGAGGGTGATCGACGAGCGGGGGACGACGACGCGACCGGTACGACGAGTGAGGGGTGACCGACGAGCGAGGGCTGACAAGGCGAGTGAGGGTGACGACCGAGCGAGGGTGACGATGATGAGCGAGGGTGACGATGAGCCGACGATGACAACGAGCGACGGCGAGTGACGGTGACGACGAGACGAGGTTGAGACGGTACCGACGACGGACCGACGGCGAGCGGTCGAGTGACGGTGACGACGAGCGAGGCTCGCCAATTGTCTCGTTCGCGTTTTCTCTTCCTTACACCGTCCTTCTACGCGCTGAGGTCTTCTTCTCTCTGTGTCCGCAGGCCTGATGGGTATGTTCGAGAAGAGGCGGTTCCGCAAGTTCCTCATCTTCGTGCAGGAGTACGACGTGGAGAACCCGGCGACGCACCAGGGAGTCGACGTGTGGAAGAGACGAGTGACAGGGAGGCTGTACGAGAAGTTCGGCCTCGACCAGAACACGGCCGAGTTCACGGGACACGCGCTCGGGCTGCACCGCGACGACACGTACGTATCTTCTGGCCCGTCGCGCTTGGGAGGGGCCACGCCTAGGACTTCTTGTGTGATAAGAGCTCTTACCAGACATCTGTAAGATATCTCATCACTGCTTGCATTCACGCTTCGTCGGACACACAGAGGAGGCGTACTGGGGATTTATGTAATGAGAGCACTTACAGGAATGTTATAGATTATGTTGATGTCCTATCTAATGTTCTAATCTTTCAATAAATGTTTTAGGAAGTGAAAGGGAATGAATAGAGCTGGGAAGTGAAATCGAAAAGGGAGAGAGTGAGCTGGGTGGGTGGGTAGCTGTAAAGAAGGGGGAGCGCAAGCAAGAGAGAGAGATAGATGAGAAAGGGGGGGAGACGTGACAGGGAGGAGAGGAGGATGGTCGCGGCGATGACCAGGAGAGGCTAGGAGAGGGACGAGGAAGGAGAGATGATTAGATGAGCCGAGTAGAGAGAAGATAGATCAGGAGTGGGATAGAAGGATAGAGAGGAGGCAGACAGGAGGAGGAGAGAGCAGAAGACAGGAGAGGAGAGAGAGGGAGGAGAGGAGAGAGATTAGATAGAGAGAAGTGAACGAAGAGCAGATGAGAGAGATAGGATAGATAGAGGACAGACGAAGAGAGAGGGATGAGGAGCGAGAGAGTGAAGGCGCAGAGAGAGAGAGAGAGAGCAGAGAGCAGAATAAGGGAGAGGAAGCAGAGAGCAGAAAGGGAGGGAGAGAGAGGAAGAAGTAAAGCGACAGGAGAGAGGGAGAGAGAGAGATAGAGGAGAAGACGAGCAAGAAGAAGAGAGAGCGGACCAGTGAAGGTAGGGAAACACGCAGTATGCGGTTTCTCATCGCGCGATGGCGTTGCCTGCAGGCTGACCATCAGCAACCGTGTGGACCGGAGAGCCGATTAAGTTCGCGCAATCGCAAGCCTGTGCAGCAGCTGGATCTCGCTCATGCGTCCGCTACGGCCAGGGAGCCCCTACCTGCATTCGCGCCCGCTCTACCCCTCGGCGAACTGCTCAGGTTTGCTGCCAGGTGAGATCGCCCCCCCTACGCCTCGGTGTGTTCCGCGTGGCGTGGGTCGTCACGCGGCTTTGTTGTCACGAGGTGGAGATCCGGCCGCGCTGCCCCGCTCTTCTACGCTGTCCTGTGTGCGGCGTAGGTACGTCACGCAGTTCTTGTCACCAGGGTGAGATCCCCGCCCTGCTCTCTCGCTACGTGTCCGCGTGCGGCGTAGGTACGATCAGTTGGTTGCGTTGTCACGCAGGTTAGCATTCGCCCGCCCCTGCTCGCTCTCTACCTGTGTGTGTATGCGGTAGGTAACGCTCGCGCGGTTGTTGGTCACCAGCTGAGATCCCCCGCCCCTGCTCTCTGCCTCACGTGTCCGCTGCGGCGTAGTACCGTCACGTGGTTGTTGTCACCAGGTGAGATTGCCCGCGCGCCCCTGCTCCTCTCCCTACCTGGTGTGTGTAGCGTTAGGTACGTCACGCGGTTTGTTGTCACCAGGTGAGATCGCTCGCCCCTCGCTCTCTCCTACTGTCGCGGTGCGGGCGTAGTAGCGTCACGGCGTTGTTGCACCAGGTGAGATTGCGCGCCCCTGGCTCTCTCCTATTGTGTTGTGGTAGCGTAGGTAGTCATCGTGCGGTTGGTTATCCACCAGGTTGATGATCGCCGCGCCCTGCTCTCTCCTACCTGTGTGTGTAGCCGTAGCGTACGGTCAGCGCGGTTGTTGTGCACTAGGTGAGGATCCCCGCCGCTCTCTCCTACCTGTTGTGTGTAGCGTATGTACGTCCGTGGTTGTTGGTCACCAGGTAAGAACTCCCCCCCGCCCCCTGCTCTCTCCTACTGTGTGTGTAGCGGTAGTTACGCCACGCTGGTTTGTTGTCACCCAGGTGAGATCGCCCCGCCGCCTTGCTCTCCTCCTACGCTGTGTGTGTAGCGTAGGTCTCAGCGGCGGTTGTTGTCAACCAAGGTGAAGATCGCCCGCCCCTGCTCTCTCCCTACCTGTGTGTGTAGCGTAGGTACGTCCGCGGTTGTCTGTCACCAGGTAAGCATGCCGCCCCTGCTCTCTCCTACCTGTGTTGTAGCGTAGGTACGTCGGCGTGGTTGTTGTCACCAAAGGTGAGATCGCCTGCCCCGCTCTCTCCTACCTGTGGTGTGTAGCGTAGGTACGGTCACGCGTTGTTGTCACGCAGGTGAGATCGCCCGACGCCGATTATGACCGTGGGCCCCTGCTCTCTCCTACCTGTCCGCTGTGCGGCGTAGGTGACGTCACGCGGTTGTTTGTCACCAAGGTAAGGATCGGCCCGCCCCTGCTCTCTCCTACCTGTGTGTGGTAAGCGTAGGACGTCACGTGGTTGTTGTCACCAGGTACGACATCGCCCCGCCCTCGCTCCTCACCACTACTGTGGTGGGTGTAGCGTAGGTCGTCAGACGAGTGTGTTGTCACCAAGTGAGATCCCTCCGCCGCCTGGCTACTTCCTACCTGTGTGTGTAGCGTAGGTCGTCACGCGTTGAGTGTGATCCCACCAGGTCACGATGCACGCCCGCCTCCTTTGCTCTCCTGCCTACCTGTGCCGCTGGTGCGGCGTAGGTGAACGTTCACCGTGGTTGGTCGTGTCCACTCCGAGCGTAGAAGAGATCCCCCGCCCCTGCTCTCGTCCTAACCTGTCCGGTGCGTACGGCGTAGTTACGTCACGTGTTGTTGTCACCCAGGTGAGTCCCCCGCCCCTGCTCTTGCCTACCCTGTCCGCGGTGCGGCGTAGGTACGTCCACGTGGTTGTTGGTCGACAGGTAAGCCTCGCGCCGCGCCCCTTGCTCTCTCCTACCTGCTGTGTGTCGCGTAGGGGTGACGTCACGCGGTTTGTCTGTCACCAGGTAAGGATCGCCCGCCCCTGCTCTCTCCTACCTGTGTGGGTAGCGTAGGTCCGTCAACGTGGTTGTGTGTCCACCAGGTTGAGGGATCGCCTGCCCTGCTCTCTCCTAACTGTCCGCGTGCGGCGTAGGTAGTCACGCGTGTTGTCACACAGCTGAGATCGCGCCGCCCGCTGCTTCTCCGACCGTGTCCGCGTGCGGCGTAGGTACGTCACGCGGTTGTTGTCCACGCAGCCTGAGAGTCGCCCGCCCTGCTCTCTTCCTACTGTCCGCCGTGCGGCGTAGGTTACGTACCGCTTTGTGGGGTTTTCCTGGTAGTCGTGTCGAGTACTGATATATTAAAGGCATAATTCGACCATCGGATGTATGCAATTTTAACGAATGCTACAGTACCTTGGCACCTTGGTAGTTATAAGTACATTACCTTA